TCACAGTAGCTTTGTAGTATAGTTGCAGGTTGGGGATTGTGATACCCCCTGCCATGTCTCTGTTACCTAGAATTGCTTTTGCTATTCTGGGTCTTCAGAAGAGACTTTTGACTTGGACTTTTCAGCAGTGCTGAAACATTTATGACTTTAGTGACACTTAGAAATGGAGTAAATACAATTTACACAATAAAGTAATATGAGCCTCTTGGGGGACCAAGGGTGGAGTTTATGGTTTAGATCTAAGTTCTTGTGTCTAGAGGTGGGTCCTGGTTGGAAGAGGTGAGTGCTAGTCAGAAGAGGAGGTCACTGGGGGCATGACCTGGAAGGGTTGAAAGGGTCTATTCTTGTCCCCAGTTTTCTCTCTCTCTGTCCCTTCCCTGCCCTGCCCTTTCCTTTCTTCTCTTCTCTCCTCTCTTCCTTTCTTGGCTGTCATGAGGTAAGCAGCTTTCCTCCACCATGCCATTCCATTATAATATTTCTGCTTTGGAGCCAGCCGAACATGGACTGAATACCCTGAACCATGACTGCAATCAAACTTCTCTTAAGTTGTGGATGTTGGTTATTGTGTCCAAGTAATGGGAAGCTAACTATTACTAAAATACATTATATTTTATTGTAAGATTATGTGTGTGTAATGAGTAATATATTATTGATGCTTCATCAAAAGTTTTTGTACTATTTATGCATTTACAGTCATACAAAAATTGAGAGCCTCTTAGGTTTCTTGGATATCTTTCCTTTTCCTCATAGCCACTTGGGGTAAGATTGCTATCTTTTCTGCTTTGCCTTTTTTTTCACTTTTATCTCTGGCAATACATTATCTGTAGACATTCTAAAAATATTTTAACTGAATGATTTGCTTATTTGCATAAAACTTTATTTCATTTTCTTCTCTTAGAAGAAAGTTTTTTGTTAGAAGTTCTAGAAACTTCTATTTTCTATATATTTTTTTTGTCAGTGTACAGAGGCCAATTTATTATTTTACTTACTCATTTCCATAGCAAGGACAGTGATATTATGCCAAGAAAATTCTTCCCGGTCTAGGGGTCTTGCGGTCATTAGGGCACCTGTTGTTATGTCAACATAAAAAAATCTTCCAGGATCACTGCTTCTGTCAATGGAGTATCTGCAAAGACATGGATTATGTATATCATTTTCATTTGGACAAACATACAACAACATATTATATGAGAGCACTTTGTGCATATCATGTAAATGAAACATGGCTTGATTGGCTTGAGTATGAATACATGGAAAACTGTGGTCTTGTCATACTTAAAAACAACACAAACCAAAAAACCCATTATTCAGTTTTCTCATTGAAAAATTGAAATAAACAGGGTGCCAAGAATCTTAGGGCAGCATTAAGCTACTCAAGGACCAATTTATGTTATTTAAAGCTTAAAATTGCCCCAAGAATTTTGGGACACCCTGAATATCAACCCTACATAAATTTGTTCAAAATTCAAATATATTCTCAAATGCTAGTCTGCAACTGGATAAAAGGAAGAGTTACCATTAATAGTTCTAGTTCTTGTAATTAGTCTCATGTGTTGGAAGGGAAACTATTGCACCAAGACCTTTGTGAGCATGTTAATAACTTACCATCTGAAAAATACAATAATGGTATTTACTTGCTGAAGAGTCCTTATCTACAGAATGCTTTTAGCAGGACAGACCAGGTCTCTCTGGGTTGCTTTTCATAAATAAGCATGAAGTTTATGTATTTATGGGGCTACCGCCTCCTGGAAAATGTCAAATAAGCTGTGTAATTAGTAGAATATAATAAACAGATGTTCCATAAAAAAATGCCTTTTTCTATTAAGGGATGATCTTCCCCCTTTCATGTACAATCTGGACCAGTATATGTTGTTAAGCAAGAAAAGGTTATTTACTGCTACCTGTGCCTGAGAGTTTTGGACATCTCCAAAGGAAGAATGCCTGACTCATTTTGCTATTGTCTGTATCTTTTGAGTCACTAGTGAAGCTGGTACTGGGTTAGATTCATAATTCCTTGTGAATCTGATTTGGAAGTCTGATTCTTTTGTGTTTTCTTATTTGCATCATCTCACTGGTCCCCATCTTGAGACATTAAATAAATATGAAGGGAGGCTCATGTGAGTTGCTATCTCATTGTGGTTTTAAGTTGTATTTCCTTATGATAAGCCATGTTAAATATTTTATTTTTTTCATTTATCTATAGGGCACTTACATTTCTTGTTTTGAAAAATGTATATTCCAAAAAAAAATTATAAAAATTTCCAGGGCCTAGGATGTAGCTCAGTGGTGCCATGCCTGCATTGCAAGAATAAGGTCCTGAGTTTAATCCCCAGTACCACACAAAAAAGAAAAGTTATAAAAAGAAAAATATGTATTTAAGTACTTTGCTCATTTTTAGTAAGGTTATTTAAACTGATTACAAAATACAAAATAAAAGTAGTCAAAATAACATGGCACTATCAAAAAAAAAAAAAAAAAACCAGACATACCAACCAATGGAATAAGATAGCCCAGAAGTAAATCCATACTTCTATGGTCAGTTAATTAATTTTCAATAAAGGTAACAAGAATAACGGGGAAAGGACAGTCTCTTCAAAAAATGATAATGGGAAAACTGGCTATCTACATGCATAATGAAATGGTACACTTACTTGACCCCTTGAACAAGAATTAATTCAAATGAATTAAAGATTTGTGTAAATATCAGACCTCAGACTGTAAAACTGTGCGTCACCGGTCTGGACCAAGTTTTCTTGGATATGACCCTAACAGCACAGGGACAGCAAGAGTAAAACAGACAAAAAGGATTTATCAAACTAAAAAGCTTTTGGACAGCAAAGGAAACAACAGAATGAAGAGAAAACGCAAAGACTGGGAGAAAATATTGTACATCATACATTGAAAAAGGAGCTAATATTCAAAATACATAAGGAGTTCTATTTTTAAAAGGTCAGTAATTATAATAGCTGTTATCTATTGAATACCCAGCACTTTACTATGTAATTAATATGTAACTTCTTTTAAATGTTTATAATATCTCTGAAAAATTATTCCAATAATCAGATAAGGAAACTGAAGCTTAGAAAAATTAAGTCACTTTCACAAAGTTACACAAGTAATTTGTAGAACTAAGATTTGGAACCCTATTCTGTACATGGAACTGTAACTATTGTGTTCTTAAAGTGTTTAAATAGAGGCCAGGGAATATATTTGGTTTAAAATTCTATTTAAAATTGCTAGCATTTGAAATTAAAATTTTAATTGTTTTATATATCCTTTTATTGGTACATTTTAGGTGTACAATATAATGACATTCATCA